ATGATGATGATGATGATGATGATGACTGTCAAGGATGATAGTCATCATGAGTATGATCACGGACGACCCGATAAATGCCGTACTTAAAAACTTTTTTGTATAAAGTTTGCATGCCACATTCAAGTAGCAACAAGAAATAATCTAATCACTGCAGACCATAGTAGGCCAAACCACCTAAAGACAGCGCTACAAATACCAAGCATCCTAACATATCCTTAACTAAATGTCTTACCACATATTACTATTGAAGACGGCAGCAAACACGACGAAAGTAAGAATAGAGCCCCAGATACCAAGGTGTGTAAGCCACGTCCAGTAATGCGTTACTAACGCCAACTAACAAGTAAAAAAAGAACAGTTAATATAGGGAGTATATTATATGTACATGCGAGTGTCAGTGATCACACCTACTGAAACAGAGACTCATGATTTAATACGGGTTCTTCAGGTTTCCTCTCTCCGTAAAAATCAACCACTGGACGTTAGTAATGGATGCACGCTCACTCATGAGCGCATAGACTGCAGGACACCATTTTCCCCCTGCTTTCAGGTCATGTACGGAACGTCGCGACGTAAACAACGTTTTGAAAGCCATCCGTCACTGCGCGCGTAGTCTTCTCTCAAGTCGAGTTATGTTTGCTAAATCAATTTATTATTAACTAACTAAAGCGCACGTTATTCATCAGAGTTGTACGCATAGAATACTGAATATACGTGCTGTTTAATTATTACCTTGAGATTACTGACAATTACACAGACGGTAAATACGAACGTTCCGAAAGACCAGACACCGACATTCTGCAAACAAGATGCATTTTGGTTAGTTTTTACGGAAAATATAGGTATGGTCTGCACTTGGACAGACAGACAGACAGACAGACAGACAACTTGAAGAGAACTTACCATTGAACCAAGGAGATCGCCCTGGAACATCAAATATCCACCAAAGAAAAACACGAGGGCGTGCCAATATCCTATACGAAAATAACATATATTGCATTCGTTATTCTATCCATGTGGGATGCAGGAAGATTTTCAGTGATTAGAATCTTGCCCAAGGTGTGTCTGTGAGTTGGGTGGGTGTGTCGAGGGGGTTAGGACAGAGGTTATCTCCATACGCAGACGTCCTTAGGATTGAAAAGCATAGTACAAATTCGAGAAAGAAAAACAGATAGACAGACGATCGTTGAGAGCTCAACTCTTCTATAATATAAAATACTGTGCACATGACGTACCTGAAGCAATCCAGTATATAAACTGCTTCCATGACAAGCGACGGTTATTTGCTATATCCCTTCAGAACAAGAACAGAACAGACAGCCACAGATCAGCATCGTTTACATGAAGAAAGGTAAACATACTGTTCCCCAAGACAACCTTGTTTGGTTTTGCAGAGGAAGGAAAACCAGAGCACCCAGAGAAAAACCCTTGAATCAAGGGAGAGAGCTAACAAACTCTACCCATATGTGATGTCGAGGCCAGCAATTGAACCCGACACCCCAGAGGTACACCACCCTTGATTCACAAATTATAGTAAGTTCCATAAAAATCCACAGAAGAATAGAATACAAGTATCCACAACTCACTTGTAAAGATGCGGATTGCCTTGTAATGTTTCACTATTCAAATGTTGTTCAAACACACCATAGACTAGAATGGGCACCGATGTGAAGAAAATGTTGTAACACGTTAAGAAGAATCCATGATATAATGGCTGAAATCAAGACGATAAGAATATGATGTAAGATAATAACGAAAGCATTCTATGATTATAGTGGTTGGTGTACTGCCGGCCAAGGGATCTAGGGACTGGGTGGAGGAGTGGGGAAGGGGAGTGGGGAAGGGGAGGGGGAGGGGAAGTGGGGAGGGGAAGTGTGGATGGGAAGTGGGCAGGGGGAGGGGAAGGGGGTTCCTTTTTCCACGTCCAAGCTATTGTCTAGTCACATCTTTTTCCTTTGCTGCTCTAGAGCCAGGCAACCATTTGTTGATTGTAGAGTTGAATTCCTATGTATGTCATGGTATGGTATGTATGTATGCATAGAAAAAACGGCTATGCTACTGACCTGTCCTGAGAATGCATTGAAGAAAGCGTAGAGAAATTGAGGTGTGATAAAGCACACATTCTGGAACAGAAAACACGCTAATATAAGAACAAGAACATAACGACTTATCGGAAATAGAAGGTATGGTCGATCTCTCTCTCACCTTGTAGAAAAAGTACTGGACCAAGATAGAAGAGCGAATGTAATAATAATGTCCATGTACAAGTAAGACTCGCCATAAGAACTTGAACCTTGAGATAGCATAGTCACTGGTCATGACAGCTTGTCTTCCTTCCTTCCCCATCACACCTATACCAACATGTGCTTCTTGGATCATACCACAGTCATTAGCACCATCTCCTATAGCTAGTGTCACAGGCTTCTCTTTAGATGTCTTCATCATCTGCACTACCTAAATGACGTCATGGAAAAATGTGTCGTCATCATTTGTAAAAATGGAGTAATATATAGGTTTGACATATATTAAAAGATCATGACGTCATATGTACAATCAATACACATTTTGAAGGTGACGTCATTAACACTATAACAAATAGACTTTATCACGGTATAGCACTTGAATGTAAGGCTAGATGGCAAAAATCTACAGTGCTGTCGTCGTGATGTAAGCTGCCTGCGCAGAGTCTAAAAAGTCACTGATTCAGACCGTTGCAAACAGCTTGATGTTCAGAAGCTTGCCATGCTGTGTCGCAGAAGCACGAAAGGCATTGAGAAAGAGAAATAATTGTCAGTATTAGGGTACCTGGGCCTTTTGAAGCGGAGACATTCGACAACATAGCACAGCTACACATTTACGGCATACGTCTTTGAACAGTTCTAACAAGATTGAAAGAACATAGTAATATTAACCTCTGTCACTCAACTATTAGTCTCCCTCGCATCCGTTTTTAGTGTCGGTCGTCACGCAACGTCAATGTGGGGAGGGAGCGTTGCGTGACGACACTAAAAACAGATGCGAGGGAGACTACTCAACTATTAGTGTTATGGGGAATCTGATGATACGAGTGGTGAGTGTTATGGGGGGTCTGATGATACGAGTGATCAGTCRTTGTAGGGGTATTAGGCAGAGAGAGATTACATACCTGTGTGTCCATTAAACACATGAGTAAGAGTACGACCGTCAACTATTAGTGTTATGGTGGATCTGATGGTACGAGTGATCAGTCATTGTAGGGATATTAGGCAGAGAGACATTACGTACCTGTGTGTCCATTAAACACATGAGTAAGAGTACGACCGTCAACTATTAAACCATAGATTTTATCTTTAGGCTTATTTTGAACCCTATAAAACAAGAAATGGTTATAGTCATTTATTGAAAAAAGGAGTCCAAACCCTCTGGGCTGATCTAAGTCAAGACACGGCTAAATTACAGATAAAATTATTTGAATATAGCATGTTAGCATTGTTAAAGGGAGTGTCAAGTTTTGAGAAGGGACGAAACCGGAGAACCAAGAGAAGTGGAATCAAGGTAGGGATCATAAAAACTCTACTCACATTGATGTGAAACCTGAGACTCCAGTGGTGAGAAGCGAGTGTACTAATGCTACACCAGTACCCTTGATTCTTGATATATGGATTAACCAAGTCTATACTTACTCGTTATTGAAGAGTATCAATCGTTGTTCACACTCTTCTGGTGAGTTTTTCTTGACTAGGAACATCAGCTCCATTCCGTGCTGTACAGAAATAACAGACTTGATTAATGCCCAATAGAGAGAATAAGAGAAAAATATCAAATGTAACAGGCGCGCGCTTGGGAAACAGTAGTTATTATGGTTGGTCACACTGTGGTGAGCGACGGTCCAACACACCTTGATGAATAAACGTAACAATGGCGCGCACTTTAGAAAAAGTACCCATTCTTGTTTGTCATCTCATAGTGAGCGACGGTCAAACGCAACTTGCCGCTAAGTCGCGTGCTTGAGAAACAGTACCCATTATCGTTGGTCACCCTGTTGTAAGCGACGGTTCAACACACCTTGTCGCTTGCTGCTCAGTTTTCACTCAATATCTCATTTAACATCCTTGATTAAATCGTTATTTATCTATCCTTACCTTGAAATGTCCGCAAGAGTGACTGATATTCACAGCTGTTTCTTGCTTGTCTCCCGTTAGTACCCACACCTACTCGGAAAGCAAAAACATTAGTACCCAGTCTTACACACGAAGCACAGCATCGTCTTACCCCACCCTCCATCGTATGATTTTCTTGCCGCTGTGGTCATGCACTTGACTCCAGGACTCTCAATTATACGTGAGTACATCCTTAGTTTGTCGGTTCTCTCCTGGGCCCGGTTGTATGAAGCCTGGATAGCGCTATTCGACGGATAAATCTTATCCAGTGGATAAATTTATTGGATAACAGCATCGACGTATCCACTGGATAAGGATTTATCCGTCGGATAGCGCAGCCGCCCTTCGTACAACCGGGCCCAGTTCTTTGAGGGTTTTGCCCTAGGTTCTCTAATTTTCCTCTCTCTGACAGGCCGTTTGCATGATGGCATCATTTTACTACCACTACCAAAATGCTTCACAATTTTCTTTCTTATTCAAGTTTGTATTTCCTCATGAGAATATTAAGACAATTGGTGCCAATAATTCACTGAAGAAAAGAAAGTGTGCAAGGGAGTCTGGTAGTGGTATCGACCTATTCAATCAGTGAATGAGGACCTCAGGTTGGTTAGCCACTGGCTAATAAAACACGATTTTTTGTCATAGCAAAGAGGTACGACGAAGAGGGGGCTTGACACTTACGCTGAATGAAAGAACCAAGGTGTTTAATATTAAGTAAGGGCAAATACGCTAACAAGACTCACTTTGATTCCAGCTTCTCTCATGGCTTCTATCGTCTGTGGAACTCCGTCTTGAAGTCTATAATTTGTTATTTTAATGATTTGTTAACTTAAAAGTAAAATATTTAATACCGTGTGTAAAGTAATAGTTTTTTCATCATATGAAAATGCTACGATATGTTCAGTACCATTTCGTTTAAAACCAGTTTGCGTATGTAAAACATACGATTACGATTACGGTTAAGGTTAAGATACGGTAAGGCAACAATACGTTATGCATTTGCAAGGGCGTCCCCCCCTCTTATGGCAACAAAATCTTTAAAACTTATACGGTAATTTTATTCTACTTTTTTTTAAGAATAAAAAACGCTAAACGTAATGCTGGCTTTTTTAATTTTTTGGGGGGAGAGGGGATGGGGGATTGAAGTCTCAAACAAAATGGCACTTTTTTGAATTTGGCTTCCCCCGTACGAAAATCACTCTAAATTGTATGTTTACTTACTTGTCTTCGACTGCTGTTGCACCAAGCAAGTGCAGGTCTTTTTCTACATCATCGTACACTATTGCAAGCTATGGTAAACAAGTAGGTTTCTATCAGTATGTAACAAAGTAACAACACAACAAGGTATAGCATGCCTTAAACTTCTATGACTGTCCTTTCGTTTGCGCATGCTCTTAATCTGTAAGCAAACTGATTTAACCGCAAAAGTCTTGAAAATAAAGGCAAAAATTAACAGAAATAAAATCAACAGAAGTTGAAATCTATTCTATCATCATCAGAATATTTTGGTTTGAAAAAATCCTATCATTTAAAGTTTCTTTTCGTACCAGTCCTCCTGAATTTACAGAAAACACGCGGAAATGCGCGCATGCGCAAACGTCTCAATTGCTTGCTTTCACTCAGCTGATAAAAGTCTTTAAATCTCATATTCTGCTCCACATGGCGGCCAAACACTGACCACCATGTGCTGTCAACTAGAAAGAATTCTATTGAAAACTCGTGATTCAGCTGATGAACATTCCACATGAGTTAGGAAATGACGTAGATTGAAAGCCAGCAATGCTTTTGAATTAAGATTTTCTGGACATGCGCGGTACATTTTGTGCAAGTTTCCCAATCAGGTCAAGTCCAATCCAATCACTATGAATTGTTGTTATAAGAATTTCTTGACCAGCATAGCTAGTTGTTCACCTGTTCCTCTCTGTCGTTGATTGCCTGCTGGGCTTTAGTCAGCTGCAGGAAGAACAAACGTTAAGTTTGATTAGATTGACGGTCTCCTGTCGTCTGATGTTCTATATATACAGATGGTGTGCATTGATCCTTTCCCAATACAATAAGAGGAGTGATACAAAGGTGATTGTAGGTTTTAGTTCAACATCATTACCTTAGCATCAGCATCCCGATATTCATCTTCGGTGAATTCTCGCTGGGCCACAGCGAGGGTACGTAAACCTTTCTGTTACAAATAATCAAAATATGGTCGATTATAGGATACATACACATATATAACGAAGGCATGTCATCGCAACATGTAGTGTTTTGTACCTTAAATTCAACATCATTTTCTCTTTTTGCCAAGAATCGGTATAACTTCCTGCCACCCCACCCTTTACCCACTTTTGGAGGATACTCGATACTCTGAAAAAACAGTAAAGATTGTGTTTTCTAACCTCTGCATATGCATCTACATGATCCTGTGTAGTGTCCTGGGGACCACTTCTCAGACGATCAAGTACCGCTGTCTCTGCTCCCTTTGTCAGTAACAAATATTTACCTACAGAAAAGGTCAGTCAACACATTGTTAAAGGATGCATTCCTTTCTCTTCTCTTCCCTTTTTGATTATTCCTTTTTTATTTGAAAATAAACCCCTACAGAAAAAGTCAGTCAGCAAATTGCTAAAGGATGCATTTTYCCCCTTTTCCTTCCCTTTCTTTTTCTTCCTTCACCATTCCTTTCTTAGTTGAAAAAAATCACCCTACAGAAAAAGTAGGTCACATCTTTTTCCCTACCTTCAGTGGTCTTCACGATGACACTCATTCTTTTGCGCGTTGAATCAAACTCAAGTACGTGAAGAAGTGTATATCTGACCGAGAAAAAAACAAAATAAAATGATGCTTTCTACTATATTACCAACACGAGAATATAGTCAACGAACATTTCTCAGGGGTATATTGTCAAATCATAGTGTTTTGTTTAATGTAATGGTACAGCTTTACCTATGAATGCTCCCTTGTATTTCTAGCTCCATATCATCGCCGTTTTTCCCCCTGAAAACTATACCAAACCTACGAGAACGATGGCAAAGAAAAACGTCAGTCATTACAATCTCCGCCGATAGGAAGTTAAGATCACTTCCGGTGACATCACAACGCGCACTCTTAGTACGCCTTTCCCGCCATAAAGACGCGCTGTCGCAGTACCGTAAAATTTTGAATCTTTTGAGATTAGCGGGAAAATGCCCTTGTGACCCTATTGTCTCACTCGACCAATCAATGTAGCCGCCTCATTTATCTTAGTGCCTATACTTGTATCTGATTGGCGAATTCTTCAAGAATGTGATAGCGTAATCATGGTTGAAAAGTCGAGACTTTTCATTCATTTTTTTAATTATTATCCCATCCAAGAGATTACATATTGAGAAAATTTTGTATAAAGAGGATTATGAAAGATAATTACAATACATTTATAATACAATGGATATGAATTTCATGTAAAATATCTTTCTCGAGGATATTAGGCAGCTCAAAAGAGAAACCGAAGGCTTATATTTTTGGGCTGCCTATGTATAGCTAAAGTAAAATTAATGTAAATTAAGGTAATTTCAATGAACAAAGAAGCACAAAGGCAAATATACTTAGTTAGACTTTGATATAAATTAACAATAATCATATA